GGGCTGGGGGGCGGCTCTTGCGGGAGCACATCCCTTTGGGATGGGGGTAGAACGCCCCCCTCTCCCGGGCACTTCCCAGCCTGCTAGCTAGAATGGGGCTCCTGGGCCCTGTTCCTGGCCCTGCTGCTGACTCCCTTCCCAGCTCCGTGCCTCAATTTCCCCCACCATTGCATGGGGTTAGTGAGACTGAGCGTGTGCTGGCAGTGGGGGCGTGCTCATACTGTGTCCAGGCACTTCCCAGCCTGCTAGCTAGAATGGGGCTCCTGGGCCCTGTTCCTGGCCCTGCTGCTGACTCCCTTCCCAGCTCCGTGCCTCAATTTCCCCCACCATTGCATGGGGTTAGTGAGACTGAGCGTGTGCTGGCAGTGGGGGCGTGCTCATACTGTGTCCAGTGCCCTTTGTCGCCTCTTAGAACCATTCACGGCTCCTGCGGCCTGGAGGCGGCTCCCAGCCCCCCACCACTAAGTGTCCCTGGTGCCCATTTCGCTCGACTTCTCTTTTGGGCAGCAATGGAAGCAGAAGGCCCCGGCCGTGCCTGGCTGGCTCGCGCTGCATGGCCGCCTGCCGACGCGTGCTGCGCGGTGTGCACGCTCCTCTCCTTCCCGGCCGGTCTCACTGCAGCGGCGCCCGGTGCCCGCGGAACAGGCTGTGCCGGTGGTCAGCTGGGAACGTGCCGTGGCTCGGGTTACGGCTGCACGGTTGGGTGCACAGCTGTGGCCTTGTTTACCAGCCTCCCACCTGTCTCCTTATAGCCCTCTGCTCTGACTCTGATCATCGCGCCCTATTGTTTTCCTCCTCCAGACCCGCCTGGAGATTGGGGCCCATGGCCCTGACCTTGACCGGCCAGGGGGCGGTTTTGTTGGCTGGGTTCCTTGCAGAACGTGGAGCTGCTGCCAGTGTTGGGACAGATCTCTCGCAAGCAGGCTGTGCTGTATTTAGCCAAGGACAGGACGTCAGAGCTCAGGAACGCACAGCGACGCTTCTGCACTGCGTGTGCGGAATGCTGCACGTACCACGTGTGCCAGGCGCTGCTCTCTGGGGTCACCTCTGTGCTGCCCCAGCCCTGTACCGCTAGCGCACCTAGCCCCCGCGGCAGACACCTGCCCTACCTGCCGGCAGTTTCCCTCTCGTCTCCCCCATCCAGGTGCAGATGGGGGATGCGACCGGGGAGCCAGGTCAGTGGTGCTTACTGGGGACTGTAACCTCTGTCTGGCAGCAGCTCACAGCGGGCGGAGGGCTGGTGCAGTCCTGCGGGGTCAGGAGCCAGCTGCCCCAGGTGGGGAGAGGGGGCGGCACCAGCAGCAGAGCTTTGTGTGGGGTGGGTGCTGGGAACAGAAGCCGGCCCCACTTCGGGGGAGTGGGATCCCGCTTCATCAGTTAACTGGTTAAACCGTAGGCTTCACCGGTTAATTGATTTGATTTCACATCCCTAGTGCATGTTTGCCATCCGTGGACAGGATGCGCACGGGGGCATGTGCACGTGCACCGCCAGCAGCAATGAAAACCCGGCCGAGCGCCCACAGCTAAGCAACTGGGCAGCGTTTGAACCTCTCTTGAGCGGCCGCACAAGCGCCCAGCTTACGGGGAACGCTGCCGTCTGATGGTACCTCTGGCCTGCCGCGAGTAATGGGGGGTCCTGGTTTGATTCTCAGAGGGAGCCTGAGAAATGGCTCCTGCGCCCAGGGAAAGCAGCTGACGTGCAGATTATCCCCCGGGAAGCAGTGACGGGAGACACCAGGGCAGGCCTCCTTGGAGCGACGGGTGCTGCTGGAGGGATGTGAGGCACAGCGAGGTCAGGGGACATGCTTGAGGTCACTCTGTGATTCAGTGGCAGAGCCCACCTCTCCTTTCCTCACGGGTGCAGGCCTTTGAATGGATGGGGTATTCTCCCAGTCTCCCACGTGGGGCAGGGCAAATCGGGCAGTTGGGCTGTTCAGAGCCAGCATGGCAGCCTGGGGTCAGCGTTAGGGATGTAATAGTGGAGTCGATTAACGGATAATCAAAAGCGTCTTGGTTAATGCTATGGACTATACGCATTTCCACAGACCCCGGTACCCCGCCCCCCAGCCTCTTTTTAGCTGCTGCCTCTGAACCAGAAAGAGGCATGAGGGGGAGGGGCAGCTACTCGACTAGTGTGTCGACTATTCGAGAAGCATTGCGACTAGTCCTTCACGGCCCCAAGCCAGGCCTGCCCGGGAAGGCCAGTACGTTCAGAGTTCCGGTGTGTTCCTATCGTTTAGCTAGTTCTGGAAATAAAAAATAACCAAACTCGCAAGTCTGCCTGCGCACGGGCCTTCTCACACTGGGACCTTCTGAGGCCTTGCTCGTTGGCTGAGCAGCAGGGCCGGCCGTACGCTGAGAAGTGGCCACCGCTCTGGTCTTCCGCACCAGTCACACTGCAGTCAGGTGGAGTCAGGCTGGCGAGAAGGGGATCCGGTCTAGCACCCCCTGATAACGGGCACTGGAAAGAGAGCGCAGTGTGAGAGCGCTCTGTCCGGCAACTGCTGTGTTTAGGAACCCTTCCTTTCTTTATCGTTTTGTCTTTATGGCCCTCGCTCTACTGTCGATCTGTGTGGCCTCTGTCTGGTTTTGAATTGTTTGTGCCTGCTGTGTAATTTATTTTGCAAGGCGTCAGGTCATTGAGGCGGTGGGATATAATTGGCCAGAGAATTATGTGCGGATTGGTTAGTAACAGTTCAGTGAAATGATTGGTTAGGGTACAGCTGACCAGAGCTCACATTGGACTGTAAATGCCAGTAGTGGGCAGCCTGCGCCCCTCAGGGTTCTGTGTGGCTCTACTGTTTCCCACGTGCGGGGTTGCTAGACTCTGCTGGTTTCAGTTTGTTTCCTGCTGTATTGCTAGAGTGACCCACACGTGAAGCCAGAGCAGGTGAAATGGGGTGTCTGCTAATTGCACCCAGCACTGCCGGGGAGAGCCGGGTGCTCCCTCTGCATCCCGTCCCAGCGCTGCTCCAGTTCGACCTGCACCCCCCACATTGTAGGGATGCAAGTGCAGTGAGCACAACGGCCCTGGCCCGGGAGCCCGCCTTGGTAACGACAGTCCTGCGTCCCACTGAGATGGAGGCCGCGCATGTAGCCCATGCACCAGCCTCGGTTGCCCCTCGCTGCTAGATGCTGAGGTCAGACGGGAAGTAGCGGAAGGAAATTTCCATCATGTTTGCTAAGGGGGGGGCGGTAACAAGGAAGAGGGAGGGAGAACAGGGACTCAGAGCTGGGACCAGACCCCTGGGGACCAGACTCGATGGGTGTTTAGATTTAAGCCTGACTGGTGTCAAAGGCTTCGGAATAGGCTTGCCTGGGAAGGAACCCGATAAACGGTGCGTTGCGTGCACTTCAGCCTCCTGGTCTCCTGCTGTCGGTCTGCACGAGAAGATCCGGGGAGGGGGTGAAGGGGAAGCTCTCTACCAGCATGTGACCTTCCTGGTGGGTCTCCCATCCCCTGGACCCTGCTGGGGCTCAGCAGGTGGCTAAGCTGACTCCAGGGGGAGAGGGTGAGCAGCAGATGGGATGCGATGGGGGGGGACAGCTCAAGGCCGGGTGGGCAGAAAGCTGTCCCCTCTTGTGGCCTTGTGGTTGGACTGGTGGGAGCTCCACTCCGCAGGGCGCGAGGGGGTATGTCTGAGAGGGGGCTGTGGAAGGGACATGGGTAAGAAGCCAGTGAGGGCTGCAGGAGCCCGGTAAACCCCTGGCTTGGGCACAGCAGTAAGAACCTGGAGGTCCAGCTGAGCTGATACCGGGGGCAGGACAAGTGGGGTCTGAGATGGATGGCTCAGGCTTGGGGGCCACTGAGATTCTGCCTCTGTCTCTAGGGTCCAGCAATGCCTGCGAGAAAACCTCCTTCGCCTTCCTCCGTCAGGAGCTGCCCGTCCGACTGGCCAACATCATGAAGGAGATCAACCTGCTGCCAGACCGGGTGATCAGCACGCCCTCGGTGCAGCTGGTGCAGAGCTGGTGAGTCGGGGGCACCGCCAGTGGCGTGGGGCGGGTAGCACTGCTAGCTGGCGTGTGCCAGGCTGCCTGTGTGCCCCTGTATCCCACCGCACCCACCAACTCTCTCTCATCTGCTCTGGGCTTACACCTGTCAGACACGAGAGGAGAAAGAGGGTGGCAGCTCCGAGTTCCCTGCCAGATGAACTCTGGAATGGGCGTGCTGGGTGCTTTGGGGGCTTGCGTGTCTGATCCCTTTGGCCATGGCCATGCGGGTGCAGGCACCTAGCGGGAGACAAATTGCAGTGAAAGCTGGGGCGGGGAGGCATCTCAGTCTCTAGAGCCCACGTCCAGACCCGGGGCTCGTCGACCCTTGAAATGCTACACTTGCCGCTGTCCCACTTCCGTGGAGGTCCCCCCCCACCGGTGTGGATATTCCGTGCGAAGCGGGGGAGGAAGTCTCCCTTCGCCCTAGCGCTCTGCACTGGGGGTGGCTCCCTTTAAGGGTGGGGCCGGCCGTGGCTGGGCCACGACCCTCGGGCTAGCTGAGCCGACGTGGTGCAGAGCAGG